GGGGCTTTTTTGCGGAAAAGTGCGTCTACATTGGCACAGACGCTTTTCCGGAAAAAGTGCTTTTCCGGAAAAGCATCCTGCCAACGTAGACGCGCTTTTCCGGAAATACTTATAATGGAAAAACTGTTCCGTTTTAAGCATTTCCGGAAAAGGGTGCCAGTGTAGACATAGCCTAGATCTTTTTCTTCCTAGACAGTTTTTGCCCATTTAATAGATGTGCAATTAATTTTTCCTCCTTAAATGTATTCTTTTGTAGTTGTTTTTACTGAATTTCCTCTTATTGAATTCACACCAGTCCTCTAATTTCTCATCATTCTCTCCTACCCTGCTAAGTAGTGGATCTACACTTTCCTTCACCTTTCTTCTGCTCTTAATTTAGTTAAATAATCTCTTCATAATACTTTTTATGGCCCTTGCTAGGTGTAAGCCATTTTGTATCTTAGCCTTTTTTTATTTTGTTCCTACACAATTATGTTATTTTGTATTCATTCTTAGCAATTTTCCCATGTTTACACTTTCTGTATCATTCCTTTATTCTTTTGAGCTTATTAAAGAGTTCCTGATGTAGTCATACTGGCTTCTTACTTTTCTTCCCATCTTTCCTTTGCATTGGAGTAGTTTGCTATTCTGCCAGCAATGTTATCTCTGAGAAACTGTTTGCTCTCCCGAACTCCAGTTCCCCTAGAGATTTTCTTCCCATAGAATCTTACTTACCAGTTCTATAAATTTTTGAAAATCTACTTTTTTTTAAAGTCCATTGTCTTTACTGTTACTTCACACTCCTCTCTTTCCTTAGAAATGACGACATTTATCATTGCATGATCACTTTCACCCAAATTACCTTCAGTCTTCAAAGATTTACAACCAATTCCTCCCTGTTAGAATCAAATCTAAAATGGCTCTGCCCCTGGTTACTTACTCCACTTTCAGAAAAGAGAAGCTATCCTCGATATATTTCTGGGTAGTTGATGTACTGGTAAGTAAAGTCCCTCATTACTACTAGCTCTTTTGTTCTGGATGGTTCTGTTATTTTTCTCTAGAAGTAACACACGTTCACATACTCCTCCTGTTGATTTGCTGGTCTATAGTAGACTCCTACTGTAACATGCATTTGCCTTCTTAGCATCCATATATTTATAAAACACAGTTTTGTTATTTCTAAGCTTTTTCTCTTTTCAAAAATATCAGCACACATTTCCTCAATGAAGAATATTTTGGATTTATTTACTCTTTACTCTCTTTTTTACTCTTTAAATCAAATTAAACATTTTTTTTCATGTTCAAACAACCATAAACCAGGTGGTCAAAGAATAAGAGTGAGATTTCAAACAAGAAGTGATTTATTCAGAAAATTATGCATGCAAAGGGTTATAAAAAGAGTGTCTCTTCAGCAGTAACTACTACATAGCACCTGCTACCTTCACATTATAATACAATTTTAATTTAGAAAAAAATCAGTCCGTTTAGCCAGCTAGATCCACACAGCAGCTTATAAATGGAATTCTAAATTCCAGAGTTCATCCATCAACATGTATCATAAACTTATCAGTGTATTTTAGGTGCAAGATACAGAGCCTCCTTCCTCAACTCTCCTAAAGTATTTTTACTGACTTCTGAATGAATACCCTAGCATGGGATAATTCCTCCTGCTTTCAGCAAAGGATCTACTGTATTTCAAATAGCCTCAGGATAAACAAATGCTACTCGAGTGTTTTGAAAAATAGCTATATGAATCAATGAAAAATTAAGAATGCAACTGTTCAGGATGTAAGTTTTCATTCCTAGGAATTACATACAACATTGGCCTTTCCCCATCCTTATATTTCAAATTCTCTTCTGGGGTCTCATTATTTCACATCTTGCCTGCTGCAACTTCTTTTTGTCTGATCTTATCATTCATCTTCTTTCTTACCTAAATCCATTCAAAATGTTGCTGCAAAAATATTTTTTCTGGCTTATTGCTTTGACTATCCCCTCTGCATCCTTCCACTGATTCCACATGATGGCACATGCCACATTTCACTTTTTTTCTTTTCATTATTAATTTTTTTAGATACTCACCATACTTATAAATTTTTATGTGATAGAAATACAGACCCCGGCCCCATTCCACCAACACCAGCCTGGACTGAATTTGGAAAATTTTAACAAATTGGGCTTTTGAGCTATTCCACCAAAATAATAGAAATTAAAGTGCTGCATTTGAATACACATCAATTTTTGAGGTGGAGAATTGAATACCATCACAATTTCGTGATGTTCTAGGTTTTGAGGTGGTGATGGGGGAGAAAGTATTTAACCTCTCACACACACTTTTCTTTTTAAAGATATTTCTCTTCATTATTGATTACTTCCAGCCACTTTTTGTGAGGCTGTTCTTAAAATAGCAGCTCCTTTCAGACGTAAGTGCTTCTTCATTTTCTTTGTTTCCCCTGCAGCTGTACCTTGCCCTTTCATTTGGCCCAGAATACTTATCTACAATATCTAGGAACCTGGGTGGGAGAGGTCAGGGATGAAATACATTTTTGTTCTGTTTTTTTGTGCTACTTTTACAATAGGGAGACTACAGACATTAATGGGAGCCTACATTTTCCACAGTACATTCTGAAGGAGCTGGGCTCTTTTTCCTCCAGCCCTACCATGCTGCATCATTTTCTCCAGCAAACCTTGTTCATGCTCCCGCAGTTCACTTAAAAATGTAGCATAACTCCTGTTGCTGAAGAACACGTTTAAACAAAGCAATAAAGTTCAAGCTCAGGTACTGCTGTTAGTGAGATGCTCTCAGCATACCAGAAATGATTTTTTTCCCCAGCATCTCAATTTTTCTTTGTTAAAATCATTTTGGTCATAGTGACTACAGTGTCACAGTTTGTAGCAAAACACTTGAATGCTTGATACAGCCAAACTACAAGTTTACAGCCAAATTACATAAACTCCCCTGCTTGCTAGTCAGCTTCAGAAGCTTGTGCTCCACTCTCATGACAATGAATCTAGGAGCCTGGGCTGGAAGCCAGCCTGTAGTTTCTGACCATGTGCACAATGATTTCCATTTGAATACTCATAATGGCTATATTGACTGTTGATGCTTTAAAGGAAAAAAAAAAAAACCCTTGAAAAGCACAGAACCAATACAACAGAGAAAGTGTCACTTTTTTCAATATATATGTGAATTCTTGAGTGAAAGCCAACACCATGCAATGTAGCAATCATTAATTAACATCAGAGGAAACAGAGTAATGCTTTTTATTGCACTTTTCCTTGCATTAGTACAATACTTGTAGTAGAGGATCATTCAGCCAAGTAGGTTCAAACACACGGTAAATCAAATATGCCCTTCACTCTGGCCTGCTGAGGGATTCATTTTCATAATTACTATTTGTTAGCTTTTCTTAGTCTGTATCTCATGTTTTTATTCTATTTTTTTAAGACCCTGTCACTGGGCTAGGATTGCCACCCATCTGGTTTTCCCCAGACAGTCCAGGTTTTGGCTTGAATAGCTGGGTGTCATTTGACAAGTCCTAATCTCTGGGTTTTTTTTAATCTAATGGGGGGAGATGAAAAAGAGGCAGAGCATTTGGAACAGGGCTTTGGGGATCTGGATATCCACAACTGGAAAAGTAGAACCCCTCCATTAGGTGCATCACTCACCGCCGGTCTGGTACCTTCATCTGGTCACTGTGGGGATTAGAGACACCCACTTCTACAGTGTGCACAACATCACTCGGTCTCTCCTTCTTGCCTGCAGTGCCAATCTCCCTCCCAAATCTCAGCATTTTCTTGGGACTTAGCTCCCTGACTAGGTCACTACAGTCACGTCTAGACTGCCAGTTAAATTGGCACTGCTGTGATTGATTCAGTGGTGCAGATTTGGCAGGTCTGGTAAAGACACATCAGATCAATGGCTAAGCACTCTCCCATCGATTTGTGTCTGTCACGTTCCTGACAAGTGTGAGGAAAGCCAGTGGGAGACTAATCAGCTCATTAGGCTCACCTGGCCCAATTCATCTTTTGCAGGGCCAGTGTGGGGTACTCACTATATCACGTACCCTTTTAACTTTCACGCAGGAGAAGTACAGTATACTGTTTTTGTAGGAAATTTAGGTCCATGAAGAATGAGAAAGAGAAAGCAATACCACACTTAAAATAAGATTCAAGAGTTCTACTGAGCTAGATGCCTAGTAAGCAGTGTACTGTATGCAGGTAGTTGGGGGAAGATCCTCAACTGAGGTACGTCAGCATAGCCCTCACTTAAAGTGAACAGATTTACACCCAGCTGAAGGTGTAAATAAAAGGAAAAAAAAAAACCCTGAGTTTTTAAGCCACTGGAAATCAAGCCTCGAATGTCTTATATCATGAGAAGCAGGATAGTCTTGTGGTTAAGGCACAGAACTGAGTATCAGGAGATAGTAACAGCATTGTTCTTCCTGTCTGATGTTATACAAGACACTTACCTTCACTATGCTTCACTTTCTCCAATGAATATAATGAATGATAGTCCCATTCCTCAGAGGTAATCCAAGGTACTCTGGCACTAGAGTGATAACCACAGAAAGGCCTACAAATAAATATCGGGACGTGCCACTCATCCTAATCTACTAGATTGTAAATGATCTATGGTGGATATGCTGTGGCCTGAATTTGTTCCTATTATTTGCCCACCTTTGAAATCATAAAGGAATGTTTACATGAGGGTTACACAATTCTGGTTTGCTTTGTTTAACATAGATATTTATGATGAGAGACTGGGGAGAAAGAAAGAATTACATACCAGCAAAATTCGAGCCTATTTGTAGTGTTTTATGATTCCAAGGTAAATAGGTCCACAAAAGGAAAACAGCTGCATAAGCCATACTAGCAAGAAAGATAACAAATGAAAAGTTAATAGCTTAACCTTTAGATAGGTGGCAGCTTGAAATATATTGGAAATGATAAGAGACTGAGTGGCTATAAATGCTCATTTCACAGAACATTCAACCGTATGATTGGTTGTCATTTTCTAGGTCTAATTCGCCTGCAAGAGCTCATCAAAGCCCCTTCTAGATATAACATTAAAATCAAAATCCGTCAGTTGCCCTCTGGGAATAAAGATGCCAGGCCTTTACTCAAGGAGATGAAGAAAGGCAAGGAGTTCTATGTGATATTTGATTGCTCACATGAAACAGCAGCAGAAATCCTTAAGCAGGTAAGAGGGGAAAAAACCCAACAATGTTCATTTCTCATTCTCAAAGATATCATGCCATTTGGTTTTCATTTGCTGGGAAACAATAAAATGGAATTCAAGTGGCTTAAACTATAGATCTGTTATCAAAGAAAGTTGGTACAGAGCAACAGAGTATATGAGCTCTGCTGAGTTTTACAGCACTTTGGAGATGTGCTGAGCTATATTTCTGATGAGAATATAGGTTGAACCAGCAAAGATGATTTGCAATTTTAATTACAACTTTGGATTCTGCTGGGATGAAAGGAATATTTCATTATTTTTAATACGTCCAGTTTCAACTTTTTTAACCTTATGCCTAAATGTAAGGATCATTTTCCAAGTGCATAATGACTTGTTCAATTCAAGTGTCTCCAGAAAACCTCCTGGATCAAATTAAACAGATTACATCAGAATGCATCTGTAGTATTTCCACTGAAGACAATATAACAACTCTGGATTCACACCAGGGTAATGGGGCAGAATTTGGTTGACTGGTTGCACCTCGCCAAATTTCAAATTCTAAGCTGGAGAAAAGAGAGAGAAAGAAAACATTTGTATTGTTATGTACTGTGAATTTCTACAGCACCCCAGATACAGACAAAGATAAACCCTAAAAATTCCTGTCCCAAGAAGGTTGCAATCCAAAGCCCCATTGCCTCAAAGATGTATGCACCAGTTTATTTTTATGTAGTGTGTTTACTCCTCAGTGCAGAAAGCATGTAAGTCTTTGTAGGATTGGGACTCCAGTCCTGCAAGCTGATCAGCACAGGCAGATTCCTGTGCCCATGTAGACACAGAGTGTCTTCACTAAGGCACCACACAGGCCTAAGCACGTTGGCTAACAGGTTAGGGCAGAGGTGGGAAATAACATAGTGGCAGTTCATCATGATTAGCCCCTGACAGGCCGCTAGTGCTATATTTACTTGCACAGCCACAACTAGCTGTGATCACTGCTCCTGTTGGCCATGGATCACCATTCCTGGTCAACAGGAACAGCAGTAAGTGCCAAGGACCAGGACACTGCTTCCAGTGGCCAATAGGAGCCGCGATAGCTGGTACCTGCAGCTGTGCAGGTAAATAAAACTGTGGGGGCCCACCAGAAGCTAACCCTGGATCCAGCCCTCAGGCCGTTATTTGTCTATCTCTGGTTTATAGGGGCTACATCAGATATAATGAAGCTGAGAAACAGCAGGGAAGCACCAGGAAGTCATGTGCTTTGATTTATTTTTGGCACATAGAGTGGTAGTTCTGAACAGCAGGAACAGATGACACAGGAAAGAGTTTTGCAGTGGAAGGCTAAGCAAACAAAGTCAGTTCCAAGGAAGTGACTAAGATTAGCTGTCTCACTAGTGGAGGTGGGGAGTATTTCAAGCACAAAAAATCAACAAAACATGAGTAGCCAAAGGCTGCACTACAGTGGGAAATCATGGCGTGCAGGGAAGAGAACCGAAGAAAGTGATAGGAAGCAGGCTGCAAAGATGCTCTGCAAAGAACTGAAGTAAAGTCAAGCATGAAGTGGATTGTGGAAAGAAAAAGGGAACTGAGTAGGACTGTGCCTTGGGTCAGAGCTATGGGGAAGGAAGCAGCATAGCACACTGAATGGCTTGGAGAGGGAAAGATAGAAGAAGTCAGAGAGGATGTGGCTACTGCAGAAAAAGGAGTAATAGCCAGGATGTGGAATGAACTTTAGGCTTTGGAGATAAAATTAGACAAGTGGATTTTTAAGCTTTTGTAAGAGGAGGAGAAATGGTGGTTATAAGACAGGCTTGTTATGGAATGCAGATGAAGGAAAAGCAAAAATATGTTGGCACTTTCTCTGATCAAAAGACAGCTGAAGCAAATATGTGTGGGGGTGTCTATATTCAGGTTGGTATCTCATGATTACAGGATAGCTCTATAGATCTGATGCTTGGTGTTTGATAGTCTGTAGATTTATTGGAACCCTCACCAGCCTAACAGGGTCCAGATGTTCTGACTAACTGGTCAGAATCACAGCTGTCCCTTCTCAGACCTAAATCTGGGAAGATTGGAAAAATGTGTGACTTTCTAACCCCGGTCAGTTTCCTAACCTTTTTTGTAGCTGCTTGGAATTTTCTCTAGAGCAAAAGCAGTGGAGAGAGCTTTTGACTAGATATAATTTCCAACTGGAACTCTGAAGGGACTGTTCCCCCTATACAGAGCATTATATTGTCTTTTGATAGGAAGATGATATTTGCTGTAATTCTAGATGTGGAGGAAAGATGGTTATATGTTAGTCACTGAACTGCAAAACAACGTAGTATGGGACTAACACTCCTCCAAAAGAATTTATAATCTCCATGAACTGGAGCAATATGGCTGATGGAGCATAAGATTCTACCACCTGTGTAAATAGATTTTGTGATATCTTGAACCATCAATTGAGCTGAAAAAGCGTATGTGCTTCATAGCATTATGTTGTTCTTAAACTTTGAACTGAGAGCACTAACAAACTAAACATGCTGCACTAGCGGAGTCTATAGTGTGGCACTTTCAAAGAGACCTAATAGTACCTAACCTACTTTTGAAAATCTCAGTCTAATTCTCTTCAAACCAATGATTTGGCGGATTAAATTTACAAACATGCAAGGCCTATGTGACTCTGCTGACAGTCTATAAATTCTGCTAACAGAATATGTAATCTTTCTGACTTATAAACCTTCTGTCATATCTACATGCCAGTGGAGATTCTAACCTCCATGTGGCTTTGGCAACATTATAAAGACTGACATAATAGTGAGAGAGTTGAAATTTTGGCCAGACAGAGCCAGTTAACTTCTTTTACTAAAAGATATAAGAAATCTTTAATGTCCATGTAAAATAAAATAAAAGTAAACAGTGGGCTTTATGATAAGAGGACTGTGTTTGGGCAAGGAACATTTTAATTTTCTAGAAATAAAAAGGCTACAAAGCTCACTATTTCTTAATTGAACTGCCTTAAATTTTTTAACAGAAAGGTTAATGAATCAAAAATCATTGTTTTTAAATTGACTTTTTTTAAATCTACTTTTTAATCAAAAAAGTTAGAGATGTTATGAAGATGTCACATAAAATGTCAGAATTTGAGAAGATGTGTTTATAACATGAAATCTGGATTTAATTTTTAACCTAGAACCTAAAAAAACCCTTATAAATATTGACATTTTTGAGAATTTTTATTTTTTGACCAACCGTACTTACTGATCAACTGTTCTAAAGTTAAATACAATAGGAATAATTTGTGGGGAATTCTGTGTCCTGAGAGATAGAAAAGGTCAGGTCTCTTTGATACGGAAGACTCTTTTTATGTGTCATGGCTTATCTACTTTGGTTACGTTTTTAATATTAACTTGCAATTTACTCTTCTGACTTAAGCATAACTGAGGTAGCTTTTACTGCTAGACAAGCTGACTGATTTTGTAGCTACTCATTTTAAATTCTCTTCTCCCCCCACTTTTTTGTTCTTACATTGTTTACAGAATGTGCCTATATTTTTAGTAAGATTTAGAACACCCATAAAATGTTTTATGAAGATTTCTATAGTCATTTCAGCTCTGTGGTGGTCATAAGCAGCAAAATAACTCATTCAGTTCTTACAGGATTTCTAAAACTATGTGCCACAGTAGTAAGCACTCTAACTACAGTAACAGCTTTGTTATCTGCATATGTGGTGGGTGCTGGTAAGTCAAAAATTCCAGTTAACTAAGAGAGAGGGAACTTAGGTACAGGAGGGGGCTCAAGACTGGGCATCAGGGCATGGGAGGGGGTTTCAGCTGCTCTCCACATGTCCCTGCTGTTCCTGGGCAGAGGTACAGCCAGCTGGCTCTGAACAATGCCCCTGCAGCTCTCACTGGCTGAGGTTCCTAGCGAACAGGAGCTGCAGAGCCAGCACTGGAGTCGGGAACAACTAATGGAGCCCCTGTGGTCTTTCCTCCATCTAGGAGCAGCTGGGACATGTCCCGTTTCTAAAGAACCATGTGGAGCCAGAGAGGGAGCCTGCCGGCCTTGTGCCAGCTGGACTCTGTTGAAGATCAGAAATGCTGTGTTGGTAAAGTGCAGGATAACACAACTTCTATGGAACAATGATAAAACAGGAAAGGATACTTCATTAAAATGCCATTTTAAAGACTTTCCTTGGCTAGAGTATCTCTAATTGTAAGGGACCTTAACCAGCTCACAGTTTATCCTGACTATACGACTGCCCAGGCCCCAGTAAGACACATACCGTATGGCACCTTCTCAGTCTATCAGTCAGTTCCGAAGCCTAGTTGTTGCATTATGCAAGATCAAAATCCTGTTCTGTGCTTAGCAGCATGGGAGATGGTACAAGATGAGCTCCATGGCTCCTTAACACTGCTTACTATTCTAGGACACATCTTCTCTGGGTGAGAAACTACCTACCGGCATTACTTCGACCTCCCCGTATAGCTCCAGTAAGAAAAGAGCTTGAGAAAGAAGGAGAATAGAACTCAAACTTTTAAATTTCGTTTTAAGATAAAAACTCTACCACTTCAGTATTCAAACCCCAATGACTGGATGGTAGGTAGCAGCCTAGTCCCATTTTTCTAAGACCTGATCTACACTTAAAAATTAGACTGACCTAACTATGTCGTTCAGGGCTATAGGAAACTTTGTGATCTGAGCAACTGGAATTAGGTTTACCTAACCCCAAAGTAGACCCAAGTGGGTTGACAGAAGAATTTTTCTGCTAACCCAGTTATAGCCTCTCAGGGTACATCTAGACTACAAGCCTCTTTCTAAAGAGAGCATCTAGACTGCAACCATTTCTTTCGAAAAAGCGGCTTTCTTTTTTAAAGGAGAGCACCCAGGCAGTCTGGATGCTCTCTTTCAAAAAGCCCTTTTTGCATTTAATAGTGCCTTTTTTGGAAAGAGCCCTTTCAAAAAAAGGCATTATTCCTTGTAAGATGAGGTTTTCCACAGTTGAAAAAACTGCCATGTTCTTTTGATTTAATTTAGAAATTAAA